AATTATGCCTCACATCACCAACTACTACGTAGTATATATATTATTTTACCAACTGAACGCAGCCCCAATCCAAGCTATGTTTTGAACATACGTAATAATAGCGATGTAAGCTATGTACTTGATTTGGGGGGCGGACAGGGGGCTTTATTGTGACGTATTAATTTGGTGCTTTGAAATACATTATTGACAGAATATTTGAGTTTATATGAATAGTAGTTGTGCAGCCCTAACTTGATACTATCACTAAGCCCTTCGTCGACGACTCGAAACCAATTGTTCCCGTAATAAAATTATTCTACGTAACGATACTACCGGTACCCCGACAACCAAGTGAAGTCTACGCGTAGCTCACTGAAAGGTGGGGGAAATAGGTAGTTACTTGTATATAGATTAATGCTCCGAAAAACTTCGACGTATAATGAGTATTTGTAGTTGTCGAAATATATTTTTGTGTGTTCGTGTATGTCACTGCCACAAACAGTAACTGTAAGTCTAGCGAATTAAAAGCACTTCAAATAAAACAAGAACATCTATCCGACAACGCTATGAAGCTGGAGACACAAACAACGTTAACTCACATTGCTCATTGACATTGTCAAATCGATTCGAAATTGGAGCCACCAGCAGTACTTACTCGAATTACTACCTGCAATGGTTACGTTGAATACAAGTACTATTAACAATACTACTACCACAGTAAGGGGAATAGGATAAAAACTTGTGGCCATTTGACTTTTTACTGGTGGTCACCGAAAATGTCATGTGTTGGTGTTTTGCTCGTGGTTAAAGTGTGGAACTTAACGAGAATTGCTTGGGCATATCTAGCCTCATGCGTATCGACGAGTAGGCATTCGAACTGTATGGTATGGCCAGCACTACAGCTCACAAAGTAAAACTCTAACACGATTACCTTCGCAAAGATATACTAGTAGTAGGGCCCACGGCTTGTTTGTTTGTTTTACGTTAGCTATGATGGAGTGATATTACACTTACTGGGCTGCTCGTCTATGAAGCAACAACCCAGTAATGCCCACTAAGTAAAACTCCACCACACCATTTAACCACGAGTGAAGCCCCATGTCTACCTCTACCTGAACATCCATGAGCAAAACCCCAAAACACTACTAACGTAACGAGGCAATTTATGGACACCTTTTTTGTCGAAGATAGCTCGAAAATATGTTGCAAATGTTGCAAATTTTATCTATTTTTTGATCAATCTATATCCCCATAAAGCTTAGGTTGTGATTGATCGAATGGAACTTGTTTCATCAAGTTTAAGGAGGTATTACAGCAGTTAGGTGACTTTGAAGTTTTGAATGTTCATTGGATGAGATGCGCCAATTTATGGACAGGGTACATTATACTTAATTTGACTATACTAAAAGTTCGTTCGATTCGAAGTTTTCCAATGGAAACAAATATAAGATGCCACAGTATATATAAGAAATCAAAGGATATAGAATTTAAACGAGAAATCAACTCACAGTCAATTACAATTCCACCATTTCGACCACGTCGTCACAAGGTGCACGCTCCATCCCGGATTGAGCCGCAATGTCAACATCCTGACCACCAAGTAGGCTCAGAAACGGTACGGCGTCATCATGATCCTCACCATCACTACCGCTATCTTGTGTGGATAGGTCGACATCATCCAAGGCGATGGTGAGCTGAGTTCGTCGCTGAATTCGCGTGCTCCGGGGTCGTTTGGATGCCAACTTGGACGGGACCTTGTTTGCCAACGGTTTGGTAACTCTATGTTTCGCTGCGTCCTTCTTCTGAGCCACCAGCTGTCGAATTAGATCCATCGTCAAGACGCGCCCAGCAACTTCAACTCTTGGCAACTTCTTTGGAGGTCTTGGATCGGTTGGCAAAACCAGAACTTCAGTACGTATTTGACTTTGCTCTTCTGTTGTAACGTCGTCCCAATCAGGAAGGATTACGCCCTTGGGAATGCCGCCCGATTTGTAGCGATCAAGTCGGCGACACATCTGATTCAGTGACAGCGGCCAAATGCCGGCTTCTCGAAATCCAGCAGACATGTCTTCGCTGGTAAGGTGTTGTCGCCACGCGCTGGAGGAGATCTTGAGTGCAGCAGCCTTTGAAATTGTTGTGGCATCATCTATAACGATAAATAATTGATTATTAAGTGTAAAAAAGTAATATATACTTACAATTGTCAGACATGAATTCAAAAATTGCCTCTCGAATGGATCGTTTGAATGGGCCAAACACACATATATCCAAAGGTTGGATGAGATGTGTTGCATTTGCAGGCAGCAGCATCAATATAATATTTAAGGTTTCAGCACGTAAAACAATTCTCTCAGAAATATGAGCTGCATATCCATCCATAACTAAAAGAACTGGACACACGAGGCTTAGGCCCAGGACGCTGCGGGGGTTCGTCGTTCCGGCGCTGATCAAGGTGGCGCAACAAGGACGTGCGCGGTACATGGTGCAATTTCGCGGCGGCAGAAATGCTGGAGCCATTGTCACAGGCTTCGATCGCGGATTCCATAGCGGCCTGATGGTATTGCTTGCGTTTTGAGCTCATGATGTCAAATGCAAAAGTGTTGAGTGATCTTATGAGCTTCAGATTTTCGCGCCATGGGGCTCGCGCCTCCGCTACTGTTCGGATAATTCATTCTCTTTGAATTGATTTCTGTGTGCGATATTGGGTTACAAAAGTATTTCAGTATTAGAGTAAGTTGAACTTGATTTTGATTGGCTCGTGCACCCTCTCCATAAATTGGCGCATGTCCATAAATTGCCTCGTTACGTTAGTGAAAAACTTCCTCCCCTACAGAACGTACCATTCACCGTTGGTACGATTAACGGTGTACAACGTTGTATGCCTTCGTGTTTCACGTTAACGATAGGATTGTACTTATCGTAGCAAGCAATTAGTCCCACCCACTTACTCAGGGACGTTTTAGGTCAATAACGTTAGTACCAAATTTGACCAATTGAGTGGGTGTGTACTCACTCGGGGAATTGGTCTGTCAAACTCAAACTCTTGGAGCCTTCGAAGAGCCAGAATATTTTACGTGAGTTTCACTTCGCTGCGACATGTTTGACTTTCAAATTCTAATTCACTGTCATCGAATCTTCGAAAGAGCTCTACGTTTAATCTCTAGACTTTCCAGTTCTGGACGGGGAGATGCGGGGACTGGACGAAAACTCATCATAACACAGTTACAGTGTATGTAAGGGGCAAAATGGTGAAATCGAGGCATTTCTGGATGGCGAAAGCTTTTTCGGAGTCAACCAACTTTTTGGGGAGGGACTTTGGCTGCTGTACTGATACGCTCACTGCAAGTGTACAGTAGTGTTCAGAAAATTCGCGCCGTTTCACATTGAAAACTGAGCAGTTCCGGATACTGCTTTACATTTGCGGATGATATATTTTTATTGCGCATGTGCATGTTTTACGGCTTAAATGTTTCGCGATCCACAACTACAGTATTTAGGATTAGCCAATAGAATCGTTGTCGGGATTTAAGCATCTCGACCGTGCTGGGTAGTTTACAGTTAACGTTAAGTAACGTAGGAAAAAACTGCCTCCGGTAAACTGGCCTTCTACGTTAGACCAGGTAATTATCCTGTCGGTGTGGAGATATTGCTCTTTCGGCTTGTAAACCAGCGATTTTGGGAGCACAGGTTGTTCGACAAGCTGAATTTGCACTTCGAGCTTCAAGTCACCATTACACTGTAGGGAAAACAGGGTCCATTACAGTGTAGGGGGTCTATATTAATGGGATCTATATTATGTAAGTAGGGAAATACATGTACAGTAGGGCGGCCAGTATGTACCGGTAGTCCTGACACATGAATAGTATCCGATGCCATGTACTTCGAAGTAATAATGGGAAAAACCGTGCACACGAAATCTCTCTAATACTTATCACTCTATTCCGCAAAAATGTTAAGCTCATAATTGTTTTCAAAGTGCTGCCATTTGTTCAAATCTTGTTCTTTATCGCATCTGATTGGTGAAACAGAATAGCAGTTAACCCGTTTTCATTGGTTACAGTTCAGTTAGCCCGAGATATCGCTTGACAAAGTCGTCACTTCATAATCAAGGAGTAACAATCCTTACGGCGAGCTATCAATATCTTTAAGAAGGCGTGTACTCGAAGCCTAATACCTGCATTTAAGCTACTAAGTACCCCCATGCAAGTGCACGGACGTACTAGTACAGTAAGTAGTACACAAGTTAGTCATAGAGCATCTGAAGCGACCTGGACGTCGAGAGCGTACCAAGCTCTCACTCCTCAACAATGAGTCTGTCAGAAGGGAACTCTCGGCAGTAGAATGCAATGATATAGAGCTACAGGTCATACATTGTAGGCATGCCCTCATCTCTCGCTTGGGCTTACACTCGCCTTTCGTCGACCAAAGGTGATTTTGGGGTAATTACCTTTATAAATGGATAATACTATCAAATATCAGAGGGAAACGTTTTGATGCAAAGTATACTGAAATCAAGTTTAAAAACAATAGAACATCTTTCAGAGTAATAAGTCTTACACGGGACAGCATTGAATATTTATACCACCTTGGATACTATGGTTAATATAATTGATGAGTTAAAAGCGCGGATGACATGGGATGAAATTGGATGCTAAAGTAGTGACCAAGCCTTACGTTGGCCCCGAGCGCCCGGGAGGCCGTCTGCACAAGCGCGGCCGTACGAGAGCGCGGATCTAAGCCTCTCACTTCACCGAATGAGCTATCTCTTCTTCTTTTCGAGGCCTGTATGCAATGACCTACCTAGCATAATCCTAATTTAATCTCATCTCTACTAATTAGGATATGACCTAATATTATTGGTGGATGACGTTTGGATGACACAGATATTTGAAATCCATATAAATAATTCGAAGTACTTCGTAGTAACATCAATGTGAATCTCCCTAATGCCCTCGGCTTTTTATTCAAAATAATCTCGCAAGGACATTGACTCGAATAACGTTAGAAAAATATATCTTCATGAGAAATATATATATATATTATGATACTGTTCTCTGTCTGTACAATAATGCACTATGAATACAAAACTAGTGGGTTGTTAACGGCGACCAAGTAGCTGGTTCACGCGTACAAGGTCACTCAACGGGACTTGCATCGGTTGCTTGTGGAACCTCGAAATCACGGATTCTATATATACGATCATCAAATATATATATATATATATATATATATTACCGTAAGAAACAATCGGACTTGGCCGCGGTTGTTCGTTGACCCTGGCTTTCGAATTTAAATGCAGTTGTAGCCCTAATAATGCCCACATCATGAATATATATATATATATATATATATTCTACCTTTCATGGTACCAATAGCTTCTCGTAGTGCCACGGCAGACTTGACGTGTTCTCCCAAAGGTCCCGCTGCCCTCAAATAGTGTGATTTGAAGTACCAGTGATCGTTCTTACCAATCTTGGGAATGTCCTGCGTGAAGCGGAGGTCCACGGCTAGCTGGTGGATGCCGCTGACTTGTTGGTCCAGTTCGCTTTTTGCCGCCAAGAGCGCCGCCTGCTTCTGAGTTGCAGCGTAGATGTCCTGGCGGAGGGCGTGCAGTTCTGCGTCCACGTCGTCAGGGTTCGCGTCGTTCGATAGATCCACGTCAGTGGACTGTTCACGGTCGTGCGTATGTGCCGCCGTTCGGATCTCGTCGATGTTTTCCGGTGCCACAAACACGTTGCGAAGCATGTACAGCTCGAACTTGTCAAAGTTCTTGACGAACGCAGTTCGCACAGCGTCCATGTACTGGGAAACTCCCTACAACATGCTGGAATGACGTATAGATGACACTTTCGTCTAGGCAAGTACCTCGTGGATATGCTGAGCTTGAGTCGACGTCATCGACGGTCCTCCATGTGATTCCAACAGCTTATGCTCCAGTGACATCGACCCATCGTCCACATAACTCTCCACGGCCTTGAACACTTCATCCACAAGGACACGTTATCCAAGGCGGTAATGAAGGATGTCTTACCTTCGTCCATGAAGAGAGTGCTGCCTCCACCGAAGAAGTCCTGTGGTGTCGATGACTGGGGCGGCATCGGATTTGCGGCCATTTCAGCACGCTGGACACGAAAAGGCAATTTAAAACGTCCTAGTTTTAAATAATTTGAATTGATTGAAACCTATTCAATGTGTTGAATCGCTTCATTTTAAATCTCCGATACATTCGATAAAGTACTTTTATAACGATATGTGAAATATCGAACCTCCATTATCTGTGTAAAATGAACCAATTGGACCAAGCGCAACCTAAGTGAAAGTACATGTCAATGGTTGGCTTGATATCGGCGGTATATATCAATAATATTGCCTTGATGGATGAATGCAAACACGACGCTTGCCACAGCATTGCTCGAGCTTGCGGTATTGTATGAAACCATTCGTATAAGTACTGAATTGATCTGATTGGTGGAAATTCGAATGATTTCGCTTGGCAGTTCCCTCCATTCACTCAGTTGTCATGTCGGTCAAGGGAGTGGTTCGTTTGCGCGTGCTTGCGGGGAAGGCGGCGCCGTCGCCGGCCATCGGTCAAGCGCTGGGTCCTCTCGGTGTGAACATGATGGAGTTCTGCAAGTCGTTCAACGAACGCACGGCCCAATTCATCCCTGGCACGCCGATTCCAGTCCAATTGACGGCTATGAACGATCGCACGTTCACGTATGCGACCAAGACGCCGCCGACGACGTGGTTCTTGAAGAAGGCCGCACAGATCACGAGCGGCAGCGACCTGACCGGACAGAAGGAAGTCGGCACGGTCTCCTTGCGCCACATTTACGAGATCGCCAAGGTGAAGCAGCAAGACGAACTGCTCGACTTCATCGACCTCCAGAGCCTGTGCAAGAGCATCATTGGATCCGCGCGATCCATTGGATTGAAGGTCGTAGATAAGTAGAGATTGCCAATGCATGATATCATTCTGTGTACATGGGTCTGTACATGGGTCGAGTTTGGCCGCCCCAAACATCCTTCAGAGCGTCCATACTACAGTTCTCTATGGCTTTCCCACATGCACTGAAGTCGAAGAAAGTCTCTCCTTCAACCATGTCATCCTGGCGGGAGTGATCAAAGCATGAAGCTGTTGCGGCAGCGGCGATGCAGACCGACTGCCGCCGAGAATTTAGTCCGAATGCAGAATGCGTAGCCATATTTTAATGGAACGCATCGTCGAAAAGCTCGGTCCAGTATACAATCATCAAGATAAATCAGAATAATATTCGATTTTCGACGTGTTTTTCCAACTCGCGGTGCTCGTTGCATTTTCGGTCTGACTCGTTGCGATGATCTCCCTGGCACATGTCAAGTCGAGCCAAGCGAACGATGCAGCGGCGGCCGCTGCGAGAAGGATAGCATGGCCGGGAGGAAACATCACGTCGAACAAGGAAGAAGCACTACAGAAGTTCCTTGAGCGGAAGAAGGCGGCGGAGGACCGCGCCGCGGGTATCACGACCCCCACTGCGCAACAGTCGTCACGGGTCCGCTCGACGAAACACCCGCATTCCCCGTCCAAGGTCGAGAAAGCACGGTCACATGCAGGACACGGCGCGAGAAAAGCAGGCGGTGACAAGCCGCAACTGTTCAAGAAGCGACACCTCGTGCACAAGCAACCCAAGTTTGTCAAGCGCGCGGGGAAGAACCAACACACCCACCGCCATGAAGACACGCCAACGAAAGGATTACCCACGACCACAAAGCTTTCCATGTCGTTGGACGACATTGTGAAGAAGCAGAAGTAGCGTCACGACTACCATGTATGCCCAGCATCCAGAACTTCCTTCCCATTAGCCTGCTTTGTTTCATGTAGTAAACTCTTCACATATCCGCCAAATGAAGTAGGATGGAATCCCTATTGTAACAGAATTACACTGTTAATTCAAGAACCCCGAAACCCCGGGAATGCATGTAGTAAAAGCATCGGGAATGTATGTTTTTCCACAATAATATGGACGGTTCAACCCCATGCGACGTCGATGTGGCGGCGGTTCGCCGTGTGACCAAGGAGATTCCGATGTGGAAGCAGCTTCTAGCCGAAGGAGAAGGTACCGACAAGGAGGTAGTGGTGACCAAGATGCAGGTCGTGTCTGCCAACAAGATCCTTGTCGCGGCGTTCCGCGGGACCAAGGTGTTGGTGAAGTTTCCCATGGAGAACCTCTTCAGCATGGTGTTCGACCTGCATGAACAGAAGCTCGTCAACGACATGGTCAGCTCGTACCGCGGTGACCTGGGGCGGAACCCGAAGGTGCTGTACATCGACGCCACGTGCCGCGTGGACGCATTCGTTGAGTGCCGGACGCTCTGTCAAGCCGACTACTTGGATCCACCCACCATGCAGCATTTGGCCGAGGAACTGGCGGCGCTGCATTGCGACTCTCGATTGAAGGAGCAGTACATTGCCCTGAAGGGTGGGAATCCTTATACGATCGCCGACCGGTTGCGAGGGATGCACGCGACGTTCCAGAGGAATTTTCCCCTTCGCAAGGAGCGTGTCGCGACGCAAGTGCCCGAGGCCCACCACGCGCTGGCGAATCAAGTGAACAAAGCCATGGAAGTGTTGGGAAATACTCCCTTTTTCACCAACATCCTCTCGAAATGCTTCCCCGATTCATCCGACTTGGTGTTTTCCCACAACGACCTCAGCGCCAACAACGTCTTGTACTTGGGACCATCCCGCGTCCAGATCATCGATTTCGACGGGTCCAACTTGTCTTATCGTGGTGCCGACATTGGGTACATGGTCAAGAGCGTCGAGATGCACGGGATGACGTGGCAGCACGAGAGCGTCGACCGATTCATGCGCGACTACATCCATGCCTGTGCTGTGCATCATGGCGTGCAAGTAGATGGGAAGGAGCTCCAAGCTCAAGTGGAAAGGGGAAAAATCCTCGCCCTGGTCTTCCTCATGACCATGTTTGGGGCCAGCGACAACTGGGATGTGTTCCACTTGACCGGGTTTGGCTTTTTGGCGACTTTTCCATCGATGATGCACACAATTGTCGAATTTGCAAAAACATGAAACTAACGCGAATGAATCGACACAACCAAATAGTATACATAAGAATTTATTTAGCCAATCAGATTGCAGGAAACCACCTAATCGAATTTAGTGTGTGACTTCAATTAGTGTGATACCAAACATCCAGTACAAAATTCAGTACTACGTAGTACAAAGAATCGATCGATAGATTTGGCGAATCAGCACAAAAGTCCAAATTTTGGGTAAAAGGACAATACTACTATTATTGGTAATTTGATTTCAAAATGGACTGAATCGAATCGACGAAGCAAAATCGACGCAGTTTCCAGGCTTCTCCACAAAGAGTTCAACGTTGTATCTGGCAGGATTCACAGCGAGTATAGTTAGTTCAAGTAAAACGATGTCTCGACGATTTCAGGTAGATTTGACGTCGTTTGTCGAATCTACCGAAAATACCAAGTTTACAGCACAATATATACTTCGAAGTATACCACAGTACTATACTGGTACTTCAGTGTGTAGGCGGACATGGGGTCTCAGAATCAACAACGACTACAATGTATATATCGTACTTGGAAGGATTGGTCGGTGGACATCGTACAGGGTAGTATGTAGCCATTGCCAATACAATCATGTACAGTATTAATAAATGAATTTGTGCTGACCTATAAGACAGACGCGACAAAATTCGACCCCGTGATTGGATGACCGACAAATGATTGATTCCGATTGGTCAGTATGTTTCGGACAATCCGATTGGACGAGGCAACATATAATACATGTATCATAAACATTTAACATTTAACATGTACGGCTTTCTATTGGTTGAAATAGGAGGTTCATCGAATCGACGCATCGGGCATACGCCTAACAGTACGCGTCCGCGTGAGGCTTCTTCGGGCCTTGTACAGTACATGGTGTTCCATGGACTCATTTCCTGGGATTCGAAGAGTGCAACTGACTTGATGACGTCTTTTAACTGTGCGGATTCGTAGAGCATACCGTGCTACTACAGTAGTACAGTATTATCGGTAGTTCCAAGTAGTTTTCAGAAATAGCATGAGCCAATCAAAATCGATTTACCTCTTTTTTTTTCACGATTTAGGAAAAGACGTCAAGGACCTCTTTTTCTGTTTTTGGTAAAGTGAGTTGCGTAAAAAATCGCACAAAAAGAGGTAAAAAAGTAGGAAACTGTACTAGGAACCAATTTTTCATTTTGCGAAAAATATCTACTTGGAACAGGCCCTTAATAACAAATACTACTATGTAGTTGATATTGATATGATATTACGCTGTAAAGTTAAAATCGCTCAGCGGGCACTTACAGTACAGTTTCCTGCATTTTTGCCAAAAGTAGAAAAGGTCCTTGACGTATTTGTCTAAATCGAAAAAAAAGAATTAAAAATAAATGTATTGAGGTAAATCGATTTTGATTGGCTCATGCTATTTCTGAAAACTACTTGGAACTTCCCCTAACTATAAGTAACGTTACAGTACATTGGACAAAGAGCAATTTCTGTTGTTTTTTATGCATTCACTTGAATGCATCCTTGTTGGCACCGCCCAACTCATTCATGGTGCGGTACATTTTGCATTCTGGGACCGAAATCAGGTGCACCTTGGTCACACTGGACCGAAAGCGTGCGGTATCCCAGGGACTGAAAGGGCAAGCATTGCAGCTGCCGAGGTTGGTGGCGAACATCAAAGCTAATAATGACGCCCCAGTGTTCCTTTCGAAGGCTAAATTCACAAATGACTTGTTCCAGTGTTGTTAGTCGGGCAGAAATATACAAGACGTAAATTAGATTGCACATGAGGTGATTAGTATGGTACTCAAGGATAGGTAGGTAGGTGTCACAGTGAAATCACGAGAGTTTGCTAGCTTACTACACCATTTTGCAGTTAAGTTGGACGAATGCCCGATATATTTGGCCGTGTGACCGATATATTTGGCGGTATGATTTGGCGGTGTGCCCGATATAATTGGCCATGTGCCCGTTTAATTTGGCACATGGATGTCGTGTGCGTGCCCGATATAATTGGCCGTGTGCCCAAGCAATTGCCCGTCTGCCCGAAGAATTATGTCGTGTCCCCGATGAAAATGGAAATCACGTAATAAAAAGTCAATTCAATATAGAAATGGCGTTAAACGACACATGCAGCATGGTTGCTGTGACGTCACATACCAACGCCCATGTTGCCCATGGCCTCCGCGCGTCCATCAAGGGTGCTTACCTTGAGGTAACTGTAAATCGAAAAGTGACCTCTGCGTGCGACAGATTCAAGTTTTGGACGGAGTTCACATGTCAAGTATGGACGAAACGTTGGAGTATAGGGGGAATACTTCAATTGTCATAACCGGAGTTCATGGGGGTACAGCGACGTCCATGCTGTGCGTTCCTCGGTGATTTGAATAATGAGCATTCAATATGTTGGAGTAAAGCGCGCTCTATTATGAGCTTGAACGATACTTTCTTCAAGTATGGATTTCGAATTCTTGCCTTCGCGCGTTTTCCTCCGAACTTTACACTCCATGAAATACAATTATTTGAGTTATTCCATTTTCATCGGACACACGACACAATTCATCGGGCAGATGGCCAATTACTTGGGGTGTGGAATTTTTGCACGTGGTTTTTTGGCATGCATGCATGTGGTTATATTTAAGTGGAATATTTGCACGTGTTTCAATCTACGTGCGCCAATTTGGACGGTTTGCACGTGGTATAATGTCCAGTAAAAAATAGTTGCATGCAACAATTTTTTACTGGTGCATGTTGGATTACTGGGCCGGCCCATTGCTCCGCTAGTCTCTCGCGTGCATGAACATGGCGTCTGGGACCCCGCCAATGATGGGCACACAGCCGTGGCATCGACTTAAGTACGTGCCCATATCGCCCTTGAGCGCAATTCGGTTGTCGGGCCCAGCTTCCTCACTTGTCCACTGGACGTTGGGGTCGACGAGGTAGTTTACCCCAGAGGGGGGCACGGCAAACGCTTGGTCCGGAAGGGTGGCCCCTCCGGCACATCCGTGGCAGCGACCCAAATACGCCCCTGTGTCCAGCACAAGAGTGATTCTTCCAGTGTGGGGGATGTTGCGGACTGTCCACTTGGTCGAATAGCTCAGAGGACCCAGCAGAATCACGTCCCAGGTCGTCCTCGGCTTCCTCAGGCAGCCGTTGCATCGGCCGACAAATTCGCCTGTGTCGGCTTGCAGCCCAATCACGTCGCCGTCTTTGAAGGTACAGACTGTGGAAGGAGGGGTGCAGGGGAGGTTGGGGGGGCTGGCGTTGAGCGCTTTTTGCGCAAAGTTGCAAAAGCTCCGGGGGCCTTGGTCGTACCTCGTGTTGCCAAACTTGGACATAATGTCACACCCACACACCATCTTGGACAGTGGCTTAGCTCCGGACGTGATGGTGGCTTTGCAGCCTTCGGGGGCCACGTAGCATTCCCTTCCATCGTTGGACCAACACTGGAGTTCGCCGTTTGAATCAAGAGACATGGAAGAGTTCGCCCACGGCCCCAATGTCGCGTCCGCATCCTCCAGACACTTCCACACAGGAAAGAGCGCGTCTTTAACAAAGTTGCACCAGTGCTGGGGGCTGTAGTCGTAGCCAGTGTACCCGTACGCCTTTTGATGCATAGCGCCGCACACCAACGGATCGGGGGCGTCCGGTGCACTGTTGATCGTGGATTGGCAGTCGCCATTGTTGTAGCAAGTGTGGTGATTAAGAGACCAGCACTGCACTTATCCGTCGGCCGACAACGAGAACGGAATCGGGTTGCCAGGAATGCACTTCCAGTCGGTGGCAGCGGTCGAGTGAAGTAGTAGCGGCAAGGCCCCTCCCCAAAACGAAAGCACACGCATAGCTATGGATTGAGAGAAGCAATTTGCAAAGTGAACTACAGGAAACTCGTGTGGCCAACCACACGAGTAGTTATAAGTTGATCTATAGCCACTCCCCACCAAAGCTCCTTCAACGTGCTGACGGTAGTGGACACAGCAATCACCTGTACACTGTACAGTGCTGACGGTTGTGGATACAGCTATCACCTGTGCTACTCTGGAGGAAAATATAAGGAAAGGTCCACTGTCCGCTTGGAAGAAAATACTTCCTCTGGTCCGGAATGAAGTATACCTTTGGTATCCGGACGTCAAATTTGTCAAAACTACCGGTAGGTCACATTCACCCTGAATACTAGTCAGGTCTCCTAAAATTGTCGCTTACGACAAAGTAAACAAATTAGCTTATTTTGTCGTCCTCGCCAGTGTTAGTTTGTCGTCTTACACAAAAAGGCGGTTTAACAGTACCGAGGGAGCTTAAGCTAGTATTCGTTGAAAAATATCGGTTTTTCCTGTATTTTACACTAGAGGATGCATAATAAAAAACTGAGTTTGAACTTTGGCATTGAAACACTTTGAAACAGCATATCCTGTCACATATAACGTTTGAAACCAAAATGTGTGGCCAGGAGGCTCCTGGCCACCCGCACAGGTGGTTGCACTTCACAGACGCCCCAGGCGTCGTCGTGTTCTCGTCGTGCGAGTCAATGGCTGTGCGCATAATCTCGTCGTCGTGATAACACTTGAGCACCGAGTGCCGAGTGGTCCGCCTCGAATACGCTCGGCCTTGATGCTCATCAAGCCCCTGATCACTGTGATGGTGTACTTGACAATTTCGCGGGCGACGACGACTTGCTCGTCCGGGTTCAGGTCGTTGTAGCACTTTGTGGCGAATTAACGATCGAGTCGACCGGGATACGCATGGACTCAAACGACTCGTGCTGCTCGTCGCTCTGGTCCACGATCGTGACGTCGAGCATGGCCGTTAGCGTACAATCCAGCGCGTTGACGTGTGACTCATCGTGTAGCGGAATGAAACACGCACAACCAGGTATTTTTAGATTTTTTTATTCGCCACAAGGCTTGAGTTGACCACATCCGGAAACCTTAAATTTACCGTAACTCAGCCAATTCTCGACACTTGCAGTGAGCGTATCAGTACAACAGCCAAAGTCCCTCTCCAAGAAGTTGGATGACTCCGAAGAAACTCCAGAATTTGCTTTCGCCATCCAGAAATGCCTCGAATTTGGCCTTACATACACTTTACAGTTAACTTGTGTTGTGATCGAATAAAGTTGGACATCTCATCCGACTCAATTCTGATTGGCTTAAATTCGACCTAATTATCTTGCCTTTGCTGGATCATTTGGGGTCACAGTCTGTCAATTCCGACTTCATTGTGCTCCTACATCCACAATTTTGAGAAATACTGTAAGGGGAGCGACCAATATATACGGGTGCCGTGCAATCCATTAAGTAGGGTGTATATGCGGGAATGCCATAAAAACCCGGATTACAGCAACTTATGTCTCCCGTCTACGTTTTCTAGCCAGGCGTACAAATGTGACCATCATCATTTGGGACATATGAAGCTGACGTCCAAGTTCAGTGAAACCCCAGGATGATGGCAAATTGGCCATTATAGTGCCAAATGCAATGCAGCTATAGCCGTGGCCGAGGTGTAGGGACGATCCAAACCAGTGCCAATCGTGCTGTTATAAACGTATCCGCCAGGGGGATCCTTCCTCTGGCGGATGCTCCACACCACCAGTAGTACCAGGCTCTAAGGTACTATACTGTACTGTCGTTGCTAGCTGGATGTACAAGATCAAGTCGCGGGACTTGACCAAGAATCAAGGTAATATCTTGTGTGAGTGGATGTTCGCGGTGCAGGAGCTCCAATGCTCCACACCTCCAGTAGTACTAACCAACCACTACTACCACAGCCACACCCACCACCACAGCAATCACTACTGCTCATCCTACGACCACCAGAGCAAGACGAACCACTACTACCACAGCCACACCCACCACAATAGCAATCACTACTGCTCATCCTACGACCACCACAGCCAGACCTACCACTACTACCACACCTCCAGTACAGTGTGTCCAGAAATTATAGATGCACCTAAATTTTCTCGAGTTCACCATGATGCCATCCGATTCCCCTCTCTCTGCATGGTGCCCTGCTATCACATGCGTATGTAAGAGTATCCCCTAAGCGGGTTTCACCAACAGATTTGTTGAGATCGTGCAATCTACAAATTTATCATTTTGAGCTGTCCAGAAATTATAGACGCATTTTCAAAGGGTCAACTATTTATCAATACAGTTACCGCGACGCAAAAGAACTTGAGCCATGCGAGTAGGCATGCCTTCAACCAAGTCTTGTAAGTACTCCTGCTCGATTTCGTTCCATGATAGCAAGAGTTGGGCTTTCAGACTCGCCTTGGTCTCGAACTGCCGCCCATTTGCATAGACTTTTCTTGCCAGAGCACCCCAAACGTTTTCAATTGGGCTTAAATCGGGGCAGTACAAGGCTCTAAGGTACTGTACTGTACTGTCGTTGCTTGCTGGCGGGTTGCAGGCAAAACTTCATTATGTTGTTCATCTGCCATGGTCAAAGCACTTATAACCAATCAATGGATACAGGACATTCGGTCCGACTTTCTTCTGTCAATTTCTCACGTCTGGTTTTAACTTCTCTTTTGTATATAATAAATATTACAACGAACAAGAAAGTCGGACAAACGGTCCGACGATCACTTGGTTCCTGTATATCCTGTCCGGCTTTTTTCCACTAATAGAAAGATTTTGCAACTCATCCCTTCACTGCCACGTCGCTAGAATATGCCAAAATCGGCTTTTTTGCTTCAGTGTACTGACCAGTCAAATTTTGGTTTTGCAGACCAGTCACTACACTTATCCGGTTATTGTACGGATTCACACCTGCATCGTCCCGCAGCTCAGTGTTCAAACATGGTACTCGCACAGAAGGACCTCGCCCTCCTGCTTGTCACGCCAAAACCAAGCGACAACGGCGCTTCGTTTCCGCAGTCATTGCAGCGCAAGTTGTGGAACGAC